TTATAGCTATTCTTAAAACTTATACTAAAACTTAGTTAATATATTATATATTTCTATTTCTATATAAAAAGAACTTCTTTTATATAGAATTCATTCCCTAATTAAGATATCGTTTTATTACTAGAAACCGATTACTTCTTTAAAAAGCTAGTATAATTCACTAATTCTTGTTATTAATCTATTTCTTACTATTAAATATTATCTAAATAATTCCTATATCCTTAATATTAATTCGGAATACCTAATCTTTCTATATTTTATATTAATTTTAATATTAATTATTTCAAACTTAATAATAATACTATAAACCTTATTTATATTATTTTATAGTTCTCTTTTCTATATATTCTAATGCCTTTAGTATTACCTTTATTAATATAAATATTACTTTAAAGTCCCAAATAACTAAATAGTTTTATATTATTTAAAATTAATTCTAATAAGTATTAAATAAATGTAATTAGCTTTTAGAAGAGATATAGATTAGTTTTAGAAGAAATAATACCTTATTCTAAGTTATTTCTTAATTCTACTATTCTAATTCCTTTTCTATTAATACTTATTTTATATTTTCCCTAATATCTTTAGTATATTTATATACTTTATCTTTTATATATTTCCTATATTATTTCCCTTCTTTTATACTATTTTTTGAGTTAATAGAAATATTTCTAAATAAATAAAAGATCGGAATATACCTATATTATAAATTTTTTATTATTTTCTTTTATATTTCAATACTTTAAATACTATTACTATATCTATATTTCTATTATATTACCTTCTTATTTCCCTATTATTACTATTTAGTTTAATCTACCTTAATTATTTCCTTAATTATATTTCTTTAGATATATATATTTGTATTTTTTTCTATAATAGAAGCCTAATTTTATATTTTACCTTCTATAATTATTTCTAATTTATAATTATATTATTTTAAATATATCTAATTATTATATCTATTTTCTCTATTATATATACTACTATTTTAGCTTTATTTTCTTACTAGAAAGAAAGAAAAACTCGAATATATATAATATATTTATATAATTTAAGACTATTCTAATTTATTCTTTATTTTGAAATATATTTAAAAGAAATCCTTATAATCTCGAGAACCTTTAACTTTATAACCTATAACTATTATACTAATAATACTTTTATAACCTATTAAGAATAATAAAATAGCCAAAAAATAGATTCCTTAAGTTAGTAAAGTATAATAACTAGTTCTTATAAGCCGTAGTATTATTAAAAGCTTATAGATTAATAGTATTAAAATTCAGAGTATTAAAGGAGCTTAGGCAGTTATAGAAAGCCTACTAATATTAGAAAAAATAGCTATAATTACCGAATTTAATACAAATGTCCTAGATAAGCTAAGTAATATATATAATAAGCTCTTGAAATAGAAAACCTTTATTAGAGACAGAACTAAACTAGGATTAACTAAAAAAGAGCTAAAGAATTACTAAGCCAATAATAAGAAATTTGAGAATATTATTAAAGGCATTTCTAAAGGCAGATAAAAGAAGCTTAATAAGATTAAAACTATAGTAAATAGTCTTAATACTAAGGATTAAAATGGAATTATACTATATAATAAAGCTTTTGGCTAATATATTAATAATATCTATAATAATTTTGGTAAGAATATCTATAAGAAGTTATACTTTCTCTTTAAGACAAAAGCTTTAATATATAAAGCTATTTAGTTAATTAATAAAGCTACTTTAAAATATATTAAGAATAAGAAATATTAGAATACTAGTATATTTACTAAATCAGATATTACTAAGGTATTTAAATATACTAAAGCTATTTCGGAATATAGAGAATTAGAGTTTAAGCTACTATTAGCTAATAACCTTAAAGCTAGATAGTATATCTTTAATACTTCCGGAATTCTAATTAAGGGAGTTTATAGTAATAAGCCTTTTCCTGCTTTCCGAGATAAGCCTAAAGAATAGGCCCCTATTATAATTTCAGCTTTAACTCAACCGGATCTAGTTGAGAAAAATAGAGCTAATTTGGTAAAGCCTAGTAAGAAAACTACTAGTAAAGCTAGCAGAACTAGTATAACTAGATAAGAAGAACCTGGCAAGAATAGAAAGTAAACTAAGCCTAAGACTCCTAATAAATAGTAGAGATCTAAATATTAGACTAAGTATAAAGTTAGTAAAATAGTAGAAAGCAAGAAGAAGCCCTCTATACTAAAGGGAAAGATACTATCTAAAAAGACTCTCTTAACTATACCCAGAACCAAGAAGTAGAAGACTAGGAATATTAAGTCTAGAGAACTTAATAAAGGTATTTAGTATACCTATAAGATATTAGCTAAATAGAAATTAATACTTGCTTAGTAGGATAAGTATACCTTTAAGGAGATATATAGTAGTATTATAAAACCTATTTTTAAATAAGAATATTATAGGATTAATAATAGATTCCTTAAAGCTCCTTATATAGTATATACTTAATAACTTACTAATACTCTCTTTATTAATATATAAGAAATTAAGGATACTCTAAAGGTAATTACTAAGATCTATAAAGTTACTAAAGGCAAGAAGTATATTTCTGTTACTTGAATAGATAAAGAGATACAAGATTTCTTTTTTAAGAACTAGGAAATTAAAAAGTATAAATATAAGTATTATATTTCCGATTAATTCTATTCTAATCTATAACTCCAATTTAATACTATAGTCTCTATTCCTGAGTCTAGTACTACTAATCTGGATACTAATAGCTATATTTATAAGAAGAATTACCTGAAATAGTGTGAGGCACGTAATAGCAGGGTGATGCACAAGTAGTCAAGGCAAGTAAGCTGCGGGGTGACGCTTGCAAGTGTAACTGATTCCAAGAATTGATTCCAACAAGAGACTAATCGATGCCCCTTCCAAAGCTAGGAGCGTCTCCCTATATATTCCCTAGTGCTTAGCCAGGCATGCGAAGCCCTTTACTTAATTAGGAAATCCCATGCGATCCATACGATTCCGATCGCAAGCTGTACCCAAAATAGGAAACTAGATCCACGACATCTGACACCTGTCCATGCGCCATCACGTGTGCCCATCACACTTATAGTAATTAAAAAAGAAAAAATAAGAAAATAAGAAAATAAAAAGGGAAAAGAGAAAGAGATTTCTAAAGAAAAAAACTATTAAGATAAAGTAATATTATAATAATAGTAAAGAGCTTGAATTAAGCTATTTGCCAGGCTAAGGAAATACTAGCCATAAAGATTCTCAGAAGAGATAGGCAGAAGTGAATCAAGTACTAGGTTAATAAATTACCAGGTCAAATTCATATTATATAGGAATATAAGAGATTTCTAGAATTCCGATAAATTCCAGAATAGAAGCATAAAGCTCGTAGAAGCTTGGGAGCGAGGCTAAATACTCCTTAGTACTATAATTAAGCGAAATGTATATTTGAGGCTCAAGCAAATTTCCTTCTTATGGCCATATGCTAAGTCACGTGCAATAGCACCACGTAACTGGTACTATATAATAAAAACTAGTTTGTTATTTTAGATTTAGACTAATTTTATATTCTTATATATGCTTTATAGATTTTATTTATATCTTATTAATATAGCTACTAGTTATTTAATAATCTTTAAAAATGCCTAAGAAAGTATATTTTTATATTATTATATAATAATTATAGTTAATTATAATTAATTATAATAAAAATCAAGCTAATTAAATCATACTTGATTATAATTAATTAGCCTTAATTATTTTTTGACACACTAGCTTAAATAATATGCTAAGCTATTTCCTCAACTTTAATAGAAGCTTGGATAATGGTCTTTATTCAGCTCGAACTTCCACGCTGCTTGCCTCCACTTCTATGCTTCTTGCCTTCTTGATATTCAGCCCATTAAGTGTATTCACACCATAGTAAGATTACCAGACAAGATTTTTTTGGAAACTCATCTTCCAATGACTGAATCCCCTCAGTGTCAAACGTAGTTTGAGCACCATTATACGTAATTAGCAACTGCGACATCGAAATCTATTAGCACTACCCGACGGTCCTTATTTCCCACTCTTTCGAGCGTCTCCCATCAACAGCATGACAGACTCCAGGAGTCGTAAGTAATGTGGACCTGGTGAGGCGAAGGTGATGTGGAATTCTTCTTCTGGCTTGAGCTCTCCAAGTAGACTGAATAGGGTGCAGTGCACTTCCGGGGGTTTAATCATCTTGGAGTACCAGGCTAAGCTCTCTTTGAGATCGACTCAAAAGCAGCTTTGCATCACTCTGATGTCTCTATGGCCAAGTACTAACCAACCAGTTAGGCGAGTTACTTTCAAATTCTTCGGTCCGTAGGGAAATCGAGACTCAGTAGCGTAATTGCAGATAGTAGAGGCATTGCCTTTGAGGAAGTCTCAGAAGAATGGGGAGGTATGATTGAGGTTGAGGAAAGAATTCAGCGGAACTTCGGTGATGGCTTTGAAGAGGAGCTCTTGGGGAGGGGAGTGAAAGGCGATCCATGGGTTGAGAGGTGAAGTCAACGCATCGAAGGTGGAAGAACTATCCATTTACAAACCGTGGTATGCCGATGTGGAGACCATTGTGTCAAAGGTTGTGTGGTATTGCTGTTGTAGATAGGGGTTGATGGGGAGTCTGTTGGTAGTTGGAGACATGGGTTCAAAGCTGATGAAGTAAGATCAAAGTCAGTCCTAGTACTGCGGTATGGCAAGAAAGGAACAATTTGGACCCTTGGGAAGTTCAAGCTTATGGGAAAGAAGAGTGAACTGGAGACTCCAGAGATTAGCGCACACAATTTGCAAGGATTGGAACGCTGCTTCGAGCTTCATTTTGCCCCGAAAACGCCTTTCATTTCTACCCCTCGAGAAAAAATTGAGATACATCCCTTTAGCTATCTCGTTAGGTTTGCATTTCCATTCCTGGTTCCTTTCCCAAATCCGCAATATCCTCCCGCACTATTCCAGGTTTATGTCTCCCATCATGACCGCAAGTCATGCTTCCCACATGAAGCACTGAGCCTCTCCCTTGTTGTAAATCATCAGTTTGTCCACGCCGTAGTACCACATGATCCCTCTTGGTACCTTGGTTGCAGTTGCAATCCTCTTTCTTCTCGACAATCTTTCATCCATGACCTTCCCAAAGAAATGATTAAACTTGTTCATAAACGCCGGAAAATCACGTAAATAGAGCTTGATTCCCATATCCCCTTTCCCTACCCTAAATAGTTTCATGCAGGACAGACAGGGTGCACCGGCCTTGTGATTCCCACCACAAAGTTGCAAGATCTGGCTTTCAAGAAAGTGGACGTATTGTGGACCTGGATCAGTAATTCTGATGCAAGTTTCCCAGTTCTCGGCACATCCAGGAAAGGGGATTTGGCCGAGAAGACCGTGACGTTGGACCATGCGGCCCTTTTCTTCAAGCCATCGCAGATAAGAGTAAGTTCTCTGCATGTAGCTGACTTCCTCCGATTCAAGCTCTTCCATTGTAGGAAGCAGCCAACCATCCACCATCTCAGACTTGAGGTATTCAGCAGCTACGGAATGTTGAGACCGGATAATCTCGTTGCAAGGGCGGGCGGCGTTGGTCTTGATGAAATCTCGAAGGATTCGTGACGTGTGCGTGATGTCGAGGTATGACGAGATGGGGACCTCGGCGATGACCTTGGCCAGGAGCTCGGTGGGAAGGGAGGTGAGGTAATCGCGGTCTTGAGAAGTAGACATATTCGGACTTTGTGGATAGATTCGTGCCGTTGTGATGCTGTGCTTTCAATTCTGAGAAATTCGTCGACGAGGGAGAGGAGAAAGAGTCGTGTTGAGGGCTTGACAGGGAAGAGCGTTGGTATCGGAGTCGGAGACGAGGATCGATGGTGAAGTTGGGGAGGAAGAGGCTGTGGTCGCACCGCTCGTTGACTATCGCCGCTGTGTGCTTGGGTCTGAAGAGGTTGTGTGGTGTTATTTTGAGGAAAGGCATCCACGCCTCGTTTAGGCTTGATGGAATTGACAGTGAGAAGGTTACGGCGAGGCTGAACTGAGTTCGAGGTGAATTGTGATGCTCGTCCGAGTCTAGCTCGTTACATGACAAGAACAGAAAGGATATATTTCCACCCTGTGGGGTAGCTTTCCTTCAGCATTCAGCATGCCCAACTGCAGTCAAGTTTCCAAGTCCTTCGCTCCATGTTTCTCGAAGCAATTCGATTGTTCGATTGGGGGTTTTTTTCATTATGAGATTGACGGATGATCACATGGTTCGGATAAGGCCCATTAAGCCATTTCGTGACGATGCGTTGTGTTTTCGCATGATAAAAATCCACATACTTCCTCTTTACGAAAGGTTCAATTACGGGTTGCAATTGATGCTGTAGCTCTTCGTGGATCTCACTGAGCGCCGTTGAATCTGAATCGAGACGCAAGGCAACTGGCTGTGAGTGGGAAGCCCATGTAAAAGGCTCCCCAACACGAACTTAGAAAGGATGATGCTGAAGAGCAACTGGTTTGACTATCTCCTGATAGCTTGAAAGAAATTCTCCAGGAAGTCCCGAAAACATCGCCCTCTGGTTCCATTGTGTCCCGCCAGCAACCTACAAGCGACGAAGTGCAGTGATAGCAAGAGGGACCGCCGATTGCTGCTCAAGGAGGAGGGCGTTGTAAAAGCGGCTAATTTCGAATAATGGGCGGAAGCTCATAGTAATCAGTCACACGGAGCACAGTTCCGAGATAGGGTTGACATTGAGCTCATATCCAGAGTTAACGATTTGTATCGATACGGCGAGCAGAGAACGAAGAGATCTCGCGACGAAATATCTACCAAGGGCCAATGGCTTTGATATCAGAACACTTCAGGCAAAGGACAAGATTGATGGTTTAGGGAGAGGAATGACGGAGATATATGGAGATGCGATGTTGTCAACCAGTGGATGACTAACCTCGTAACCAATACGCTAAGCCTTATTTAAACATTAGATCGAGCTCTTGTAACTCCTAACTTCACAGACTACTTTAGATAGACAATTAACTCGGATTTTCAGACGTTGGTCAATAATTACTATTTAATACTCTGACAAACAGATTGTGTTCTCTGTTCTGTGTTTAAACCCGGCTTTGGGGTTTGAAGCAGTTGACCGTTCGGGCGGCCTGGTTGCCAGAGGTAGGGTTTTCTGGGGTAGATTCCTAGGGCAGCGTAAGGAAAATGGAGGTTGACAAAATAGAAAGGCTTGCATATGTCCCATATGGATAAACTCACTGAGTCCTTGAGGACATCTTTGGACAGGAGTGAGAAGTCGTCAAGGCGAAGAGGGGAACGATATGAGGTGCAACATGACAGCCAAATTGTGGCCGAACAAGCATCACCAAGAAATCGCCAGGGAATAAGGGTTAAAATTACTTGTGATTTTCATCTATGTATATCTCGTTCTGCAATTGCGGGTATTACCGCCATACCAAGTTCTGAATCAATCGATGGGAGACATCCATCCTATCTCTGAGCCCATTAGTCTGACAATATCACGCAATGAACTTCAGCTCCATGGCGGCGAAAGACATGTGATAACTACTCCATATAAAGCAGAGACATATGCATCTCATAATGCTCCAAAATTTCACCCATAATTCTCGTTGCCTGGTTCATCATCGCCCTATCGATTCAGACGTATTGCCAGGCGCCATATGGAGCTGGGGATGACAAGTATGTTGCCGTGAGACCATCCACAGGGACACCGCCATCACAGTTCGTCAGGTTGAAAGCTGGTGTCTTAGCGTAGAGTTGATACGAAACCGTGACATTCGGACCGGAAGGCTTGGTCGGGCAAGCCAAGATACCTTCTGCTCGGCATCAGCCTTCCTGAATTGCGAATTGAATTGGAGATACGCACCACTCGATCCATCAGGAGACTTCCAATTGATGACAGTGCGAGGAGTAGAGCAGTCGGACATGTAAGTCAGGTTGAAGAAGCCGCCAATGTAAGCGCCAGTTGGGACCACAGCGGAGTGAGCTTGAGTGAATCCCAAGGCACCATTGACATTAACGTAGATTTGCTGACCGCCGGGGACCTCGACCTGCGTAGGGATCAGCGCAGGGAATGACAAGAGGAAGGAATTTGCTTGCATCCAGGGCACTGAAGCCGGCAATGATGATAGTCTGAGCTGTAGCATCCGGGCAATTCGCACCGACGATGGAGGGACAGTAGGTTGATGGGGAGCCGCCGACCCAGAAGGCTTGACCAGCTGCGTTGATGGGCTGCCCGTCAACCCAACTGTCGGGGAGAGAGGCGTTGGCCATGAAGATATCAGCCGATGTGGTGCCAATGAAGGCGATGAGGAGTGAGAGAAAGGGGGCGAAGGGGGGCATATTGCTTGATATCTTGAGTTCCAATGAGGGATGTGCTTTGATGTTCGCAAATGCTTCCGAGACGGTTGTTGTGATGAGAATATGGAGGCGTAGAGTAGAGAAGGGGGCTGCGAGGAGGAGTGTGAGAAGCGCAAGGGTGGTTCGCTTTCAAGTAAGAAAGGGCAAGGCTGGGCGGGCGCCTTCCATCTATGATGCATCCCGTCTTTAGGGCCCAAACTCCTTGCCGACATGGGTGAATCGTCCTATTTGCTACTTCCATTCGAGAGACAGGGGAATTCGACGAATGAATCTTAGATTTCAAGGAAACTTGGGGAGATCTGGAATTAGGCCCGTGATACATGCTGCCGCGACAGGGGTCGAAGCGATCAAGATGCCATTCAGCAAGAGATTGGCTCCCCTGAATTGCTGCACTAACCAATCATATGCCTTGAACCAGATATGTCACGTTTTGACCGATATTCCGGGGGGGGGGGGGGGCTGTTCAAAGACACTTGTCAGATGACCATTCACCCACAAGGAGAGTGCATTAAAAGTACACATGCTGCATGCACTATACTTGCCACAGCAGCAGGGAAAGATTATAGGGAGACCATATCCGGTATTGCTACGAAGGCTTGTCAGCATCGTCAAGCTCCATCAAATGATCCTTCAGCCCTTTCTTTGTAATGTTCATTGCTCTCGCAATTTCCGCTTCTTCCTCCCTCAGTTTTCCCTTTCCAAATTCTAGGCTTCGCTTCTGTCGTCTCTTCTCGTCAGCCACATGCTTTTCACGGCCTTCCAATGCCTTCTGTCTTCGTTCGCGGTCTTTGCGCTCTTTAATGGCTTTCTCGCTTTCTTCTTCAGCTGCGGACTCTGGAGGTGGATCCAAAGTCGATATGTAGCCCTCGACTAGGGGATCTCGTGTTGAAGGGTCAAGAGAGATATACCGGATATCTGCTAAAACGGGCGGAGGGAGATGCGAAGGTAGAGTTGCATTGTTAAGCATGTAAAGTGGTTGTGCCTTCAGGAGAGTTGACAGGTCGGACTTCAGGGTAGATTGAGGAAGCTTGAGACGATTGATGTGATCTCGATAGAACTTCTCCCGATCTTTGTCAGCCATGGCAGAATCCCGCATTTCCGGTTCCTTCTTGTACTTCCGCTTGAACTCTGGCCAGTATAATTTGGGCGTAGCATGCTTCTGGAGGAAGGCGAGGAATGGAATCCTAGGGTCCTTCTTCTCTTCCTTCGCACGCTGTTCCTTCAAAATCTTGATCTTCTCTCGGGACCATTCTTCCCAGGTCTCCTTCCTTGCTTTCATGGTCGCAAGGGCTGTATATCGCAGATCATCAACCAGCTTTCCTTCTTCGACAAGCTTCTCCCATGGGCTGTATGGGTTGACTCCAAAGTCGTTCAATAAATCCTTGAAGAGTGCCGCGGAGTCCTCCGCAGTCATTTCCAATCCTTCTGCACCCTCCTCCCATTCTTCCATATTTTCGTCGCCATATTCTCCAGGGTCCAGACCATATTCTTGACCCATCGCTGCCAGTTGAAATGCAATATCATCTTCGTTGAACTCAATGGGGTCTTCCTGCCCAGGCTCCTCTGTTCGTTGCCGTTTCGAAGGATTTTCCTCATCCTCTTCATTATCGGTAACCTCGACCTCTTCGTATTCGGAGCTATCATCTACTGCATCCCTATCTTTTGGTGCTTCCTCCGAGACCTGGCCTGGCCGTTGAGCAGCACCTGGAGCCTCGCCTGAATCCACGGGCTCCTTAGCTTTTGACAAAGCTTCAGCTTTCTCTTTTATCCTCTGTTGATCCAAAGCCAATATTCCATCCTTCAACTTGTCTGGTATGCGCCAGAAACTTTGGTCTTTCTCAGTATTATAGACAAATCGTCTCCCCAGCTTAGTGTGCACCAGAACCCACGGCTCACATCCAGGAATCGGCAAATTTGATATGGGCTTGTCTGTCGGCTGTGGTCTCGAGTCTCTAGGTCGATCATGCCCACCTCTGCCTCCCCGGCCTTGAAATCCACCGCGTCCACGTTGGAATTGTTCTTGCGACCCATCATTGTTGAAAGTCGGTCCAGCACTTGGTAAACTTCCAACACTTTGGTATTGCTGAAAACTCTGGAATGGGGTTGTAGGAGGAGGGGCTGCAACTGGCGTGGGGGGTGGTACTGGTCTCGTGTATGTTGATTGCTTCGTCGCTGTATTGTAGTAATAGGAATGCCCAGTTGGAGCTTGGTGTTCTGTCCAGCCTTCGGGCAAGGGAGGAGGCGCAGCCGCCTTATGTGTCGATTTCAGCATCTTTGTGCATGGTATTTCGGAAGTAATGTGGGGTGAAGTGAAGCTTTTGAAATTCCCCAGAATTTTATTTTGGCAAGGCAGAATATTGGTGCCTGACAGATATTATATGCCTGAGGTGTCAGGGCGAACCGCTAGCGCCGACGCGTGCATTCGTGCCTGGAGCTCTGCAAAAGTATCACAACCCTCTCCTCCTCATCCACGCACCCTCAACGATTGAGGAGAAAAAGTCCTCCCTTCTCATTCCCACAGTTTCTTAATATCCAAAAGAAGCTTCGCCAACCACCACCATGTCGAGGAGATATGATTCGAGAGTAAGCTCAAGCAAGCTCTAGCCTTCAACTTCAATTCAACTAACATTCTGCGCAGACGACTATCTTCTCCCCAGAAGGGCGTCTCTATCAAGTCGAATATGCTCTCGAAGCCATCTCCCACGCAGGCACCGCATTAGGCATATTGGCGAAGGATGGCATTGTGTTGGCAGCAGAGAGAAAGGTCACCAGCAAGCTTCTAGAGCAGGACACATCAGCAGAGAAGCTGTATATCTTGAATGAGTACGTCCCCGGGCAACGTATTTGAACCTAAAGCTGACTTCTGCCTCAGCAACATGATCTGCGCCGTAGCAGGCATGACTGCCGATGCAAACATTCTCATCAACTACGCCCGCCAACAGGCCCAACGTTACCTCCTCACCTACAACGAAGACATTCCCTGCGAGCAACTCGTCCGTCGATTATGTGATTTGAAGCAAGGCTACACGCAGCACGGTGGTCTCCGACCTTTCGGTGTCTCCTTCATCTATGCCGGCTACGATCCACAAAGACAGTTCCAGCTCTACCAAAGCAACCCCAGTGGCAATTATGGCGGATGGAAGGCAACGAGTGTTGGTGCGAACAACGCCAGCGCGCAGAGTCTGCTGAAGCAAGATTACAAGGAGGATTGTGATTTGAAGGAGGCTTGTGGAATGGCGGTCAAGGTTCTGAGCAAGACCATGGATTCTACCAAGTTGAGCAGCGAGAAAAGTATGTCCTCCGTTTCACAGTTCCGGTGCTTTGGCTAATGATTGATAGTTGAGTTTGCTACGGTTGGCAAGACGAAGGATGGGAAAATTTACCACCACCTCTGGGGTGCGGATGAGATCACGACGTTACTGAAGGAGCATGACTTGGCACGAGATGAGACCGCAGCGGATGGGGATCGAATAATCAGCTAGATCTTCCCGAAGTCCATTACGGCTATGTACCAATAAAGAATACTTTCATGGCAGGCGTAGGGTGCTATGACTTGATATCTTGGTTCCCATTTTCTCGACTCTAATTTTTTGTTGAACCTTTCCGTTCCAAATGGTTCCTGGCCCCGAGCCTAGCGGCCTTCGTCTTCAAGCCATCACATGTCAAACTTTCCGGCACAGCCATTTCCTAATGTATGAAATTCAAACAAACGGCCGTATCTAATTTTACATCTCTACAACTCTTCCTCTCCAACCTCCTCGACCGCAGCTCCCAACCCCCCAAGATCAACAGCAAGATCTGCCGCAGGAGTGGCTCCTGTCATGAACCTCCCGTCGGAGCCGAGGACGTTGGAGCATGGCTGAGGCGACGGTGTTTCCGGGTTGGAAAGGTACGGCTCCGCCTAGATCGATCTTTTCAAGAGGGACGCATATATCAGGACCCGCTGGATTGACTATGTGGCTGGTACCAGGGGTTGACGGATGGGATCCGAATGGATTCAATGTTTCTTGGACCCTGGGCGGACCGGTGTTGTCTGGTATAGTTGAGCTGCTGGATTCAGTAGGCTAGGGTGAATCGGTGGAGCCGTCTGGACCGGACGAGGTGCCGGCTGTAGCGTGGGATTTGTTCCCATTCCTTGAACTGCTACTGGCGATGCTGGATTGAAAGTCTGGTATGGGGGAGCAGAACCACTTCTGGGCCGACCTTGACCATGTCCTGGGGCTGTAGGTGGATGTTTTATCGTTGGGCCACCTGATCCTCCAGTCGCATGTCTCGGCCTCACTGCTGGATCTTTGAATTTGAGTTGAGAGGAGGCACGACTCAGGGTTGGTGCAGGTTTTGCAAACCCAAATTCTACCAGTTGATGTTCTGCTTCGCTCAGAGCAGTTTCTGCACCGTTCGAAGCATGGCCCAGACAATAGCGGCCGTATTCCGTATGAGTTGATTGATTCTGACCACGCGTCCATTCTATCAGGTCAGCCAGCATCACACCTATTTCGTACAGGGTGTCCTGGTCTATTGGGTGAGATAAATCAGGATCATCGAGTGCTGAAAGGGCAACGCCTCCTTGAGCGAAGCATCTGTGAATTACCGCAGAGCGAGTGCGTTTGAACTTGAACTGCGGTGCAGGCTACCATCAACCTATCTGAGTCTTTGGAGGCAGTATTCGGATCTTGGGTATCATCGACTGGAAGATTGTCCGTGGCCGGCCTTGGTTCGCTCTCGTCGATCAAGATACGAGCCACCACAATAACATCGTCGGCTCTGGTCATTGCTTGAGCAAGAGCGTGAGCCGCACCCCAGACAGTCTCAGGAGCGTTTCAGACTGGCTGAGATCCGTACCAATTCCTCTCCTTCCCAACAGCACGGATGAAGTTTCGCATGGTGTTGATCTCCTCGAGTAAGCCATGGACCTCTAAGTGAGGGACGTTTTCAATTAAGTTGTGTATTGTTGCTGGTGGCCTGTTTGCTAAACTCCTGGCTTGCAACTCGTTGCCATGGTTAACTTCGAGGAGGTCACGAAGCTCGTTGTGACTCGACTAGTCGATTGTATAGCTGGCACTCCCGTAGTCGTCGTGGCTCTTCGAGTTGAAAACTGGGGATCTGATTCAGTAGTTCTTGAATGTACCTCGCAGACTCATCGATATACTCAGCAGCTTCGAAAGTAGGGGGCAGTCCCCCTCTAGATCCAATGTCAGGTACTGCCGTGACGGCTTGCTCGTTCAGCTGTCTTAGCTCGGTCGCGCATTGCGAACAGACCACTGTTGTTGTGGTATTTGTCAGGGCCGCAATATCTGCTTCGAGCTCCTTGATTCTCACTGTCAGATTTTGCCATTTTGAGATATACTCCTGCGAGTTCGGACCATCTGCTCAACGCCGCTGGCTGTCCCCCGCCCTCGCGAGCAGCCCCCCCCCCCCACAACCTTCGAGAAGTGTGTTTAGTTGATTCCCGAGAAGCTCGACGGGTGCCATCGGTATCGGTACGACAGAGTCCAGATCTAGAGTAGGCTCTTGCTGCTGTCCAGGAGCCTCATTTGCTAACGCTAGCAAGACGATTCTAACAGCCATGCCCAGGCCGGTCTTAAACCCAAACGCACAGGCGTCGAGAAACTTTTCTCGCTGGAAAAGTGGCGTGATTTGCCACTAACATAGAGCTATAGAGAGTCTAATCATGTCAATTATGAGACCGACAAGCTATCAATTGTTAGTCAAACTTGAGAATTGGGTCTTCTTTGGAGCACTTACAACCGCTATGCGGAGCACAAAGATTTTGTCCTGCAATACGGCTTGGCTCTATTCTCGAGCAAGTAGACTCAAGACAGTCCATGCGAAAAACTTGAAGAAAGCTAGGAGATAAAACAAAGCCACGAGAAACATCACTACTCCAATTACTGTCCCGATGAGTACTAAAAGCTTTAAGATTGGGCGAAGTGGCTTTGAACGATTGTAAATATAGACAGGGACCAGAATGCAGACGAGGTTCGATATTTCAAAAACTCTAAAGACTACTAGGAGGACCATTCTTTGAAGAAGAAACTCCACAATATCGTCTAAGTAGATTTCGTTGAGATTGCATCGTTCGACTATTTGCCTGTAAAAGAAGTAGATCTGTCTACAGATATCGAATGGCAATCTAAGAAACAAAAACGGAATGCCTCGGAATCCGTATCTTGAATCATAATACAGGTTATCAATTGTCAAGTAAAAGCCCTAGTTATAGTCAGTCGTACAGTCGAAAAGAGGGGCATCGGGAGAGGCGGGGTCAACCCACAATTACACTGAACAACATAACCATAAGAATGAAGTCAGAGAACGCGCCTGGGTGGATTTCCTGCAAGAACTCCCAGAATGCAGGCCATGCGACAGTGACAAGGGTCTTGGCTGCAGCCTCTGGTATCGTCACGAGTGACCTGAGACCATGAATAGTGATCATAAATGGCAATATTGGCCATTGCACAATCCAGTGGGCAAGAAAGGAATGTTTCCAGACAACTGACCTGGTGTCCAAATTCTCGCCGATTTCCGTGGAGCCTGCTCCGAAGAGCAGGCTCATGAAAACTTGAATGATGCTGTGAGAAGTTCTACGCCATTGGGTACGGTCTATGGCGCTTTGGAGTAAGGGTACCGGAATGTGTTTGTATGCCCAGGTAAGGAAGTCGGCAAGGCATGATATTGGTGAGGATATTAGTAATCTCTTTAAGTGGTAACCGACGTTCAAGATCAAGTCAAGGAAGTCGATGTTTGACGCCGCTTGAATCATACTCTTGACCGCAGGCAACCCGCTAAAGGGAGGAAGAGCGGCCAAAGATAAGGAAGGCAAGCTAGGTTTGGGTAGATTCCGTAGGAACTCTCGTGGAAGTGCTGGTATCAACGCAATGCCGCTCATATCCGGAAGAGCGGTGGGGGGCAACTTAAAGTTATAAACAGTAGTCGCCGCCTCCCTAATACAAGACCCAGCAACCGCGAATGGTGTAACGATTCCCCAAGAAATACAAAACCAAGCGTTGAAAAATGGCACCAAGAGGGCTGGCCAAACGTAGTGACACAGCTCCTTCACCGTTCCTATAAGCAGAGCCACCCCATTCGCCTCAGGGATCGCTACTTCAGGAAGCTCCCATTTGAAGATCGCGACAGCGGCCCTCACCCAGTGCCACTCCTATCTGACATTAGCATCCGTCTCATTTATATTTTTCCTAGTTTGGGACTTACCCATGGGTTGATGTCGAAATGCAGAAATTTTTCTTGACTAAGGCTCCCAGCCAGATTCCCCTCACATCTCATCCTCCACCACCAATCTTTGCTAAGTTGGGCCCTCTTCCAGAAATTTAACTCTCTCAGTATGTATATGCATTTTCTTCCGATATCACTCTCGCCTCGTGAAGCGAGGTAGTATTCGGTGTAGTAGTAGAACCGTCCCCAGATCGCCCGCCAGTTAGCGAGGAAGACGATGGCGATGGCAATGGTAAAGAAGCCGAGGGCTGCTGCGGTGGTTTTCCCTCTGTCTGTGAAAGTTGGGTAGAGAAGGCCGATTATTGAAGCCATCGTTGTGGCTTTACCAGCCGTGCTGGATTCGTGCTTTAACTTCCTGGCTGATATGTGGAATCGAGAGCGCTAATAGCTATTAAAAACGAAACTCTACGATAGCTGCTTTGTGACAGATAGAAATTCAAGTCGCGGCGAGAACTAGAAAATTGTAATTTAGGGAAGAGATGGATCGAAAATAGCAAAAAACAAGTGTGTGCTCGAATGGACAAAGAAAATTACAAAGATCTCGAATAAAGACTCTTTTACAAGCAGGAATACTATCCGGATTCGATATGGCGTTTATTATCGTCACAAAGGAATTGTGCGAAAACAGTGTGTCAAATGATTTAGCTTGATTTGATTATCGCCTCTGAATCAAATCAAATCAAGTCAAAATCTGCTTAATCAAATCATAATCAACTATAATCAACTATAGTTAATTATAGTTGATTATTTAGTCACGTGACCCTATACGTATGCTCGGAGATTAGAAAAGCGAGATAAGGCTAAAATAAGGCTTAGGCTAGCCCGTATCCGGTATAGCTTAAGGTACTCCTTACTAAATTGGGTATCGCGCCGCTTGGTAAGCGAAGCGGCACAAGCCGAAAGTGCTAACGCCTCCTCGATTTTTAGTAATTTCTCGCTACCTTATAAATCTTATTATTATAAATAAAATAGCTAAAAATAGGCCCTCTCACAAATAAGTGCTTTAATATTAGGGGGCTATATCTAATTAGACTCTTATTAAAGAATCTTCTAGATTCTAGAGTTTTTATATATAAATAAGTAATTTTCCTCAAGTTACTCTCTTTTTCTCTTATTATATATATATATATATCTCAATAATTATAGCTCCAATTAAAAAGCTTTTAACTATAAACTTATTTATTTTTACTTAATATATTCGGAAATGTCTCAATAATCTTTAATTAACCTTAATATCCCTCAAAATAGAGGAGATAAAAAAAGCAGGAAGTAAGGATAGGAAAGGTAAAAGAGGGGTTTCTAAGGGGGATAACCAGGTTTTTATACCCGATTTAGACTAGCTTTATACTCTTATATATATTTTATAAGTTTTGTTTATATCTTATTAATATAGCTATTAGTTATTTAATAATCTTTTAAGACACTTGAGAAATTCAAGTTTTCTTGATATCACGTGATGATTATAGTTGATTATAATTAATTATAATCATAATCAAATCAAATCAAGTCAAAATATACTGAATCAAATCATAGTCAACTATAATTAACTAGCCTTGATTTTTTTTTGACACACTGTGCGAAAACGAGAGAGGACAATATGCATTCATTATTTTTGAAATTAGGGGCCTGAGGCCCCCTTATAGGCTTAGTAAGCCCTGGGCTGAACGCCCTGGAACGGAGCCTTAGGGGCTGTGCACTAATGGGGTTTAAGCCATAGGCTTATTTCCAAGTAGAGTATGCCCTGTAAGGTTGAATCAGTTCAACTGGCATACTATAAGGCTCCCCAATTTAGGGGTTTAGTGCATGTGACTTAGGGGGGTTCAGGGCTATATATATGGGCTACTTACCACTATAGAACAGCAGTCAATTCAGTATCGTTTACTTGGTTTACATTGCACACACGAGACCTTAGCTTTATTAAGCTAGTTTAACAATTATCAGGGTTGCTCAAACCTCGAATAATATGTGTATACAATCTTGCATCAAACCACGCCTGGGGATTACTTATATCGATGCACCTAGCTCTGGCAGTTTTAAACAGAACCAAGCCTCTTCTATGATGCAAGACCACCAGGACCTGCTTTGCGGCGAACAGTGAAGAATCATGACACGCTAGAACATTTATTTTCTGCTCAGAAGCTAAATAATCTGAAAAGTGGCTAGCTGTCTTTTGAATTGAATGAGACTGTCCCCGATTACCTCCTTCGCCCACTGCTGCCAACGCAACACCCTAAAGAGGTTTTATGGAAGCCTGATTCTGGGACGCTGCGGCCCAAAACGTAGAAGATCGGCTTAGTGATACTCCCAGCGACCGTCTTGGAATCCGCGGCGGAAAACTCGTCGGAATTAAAAATGCCAATAGTCAAAACTCGACTCATAGACTTTTCTGACTGTTGCAAGAGTTATTATACTAATTCAGGTGGACTTAAGTAACTAAGGCGTGAATTTGTTCGAGACGCAACAGATGATGAGCGGCGGGAAATAAACGCAACTTAGGAAAGGGGAATGCTTGCTTGGGATGGCTACAGACCCTACGATTCCGTCCACCAAATCCGCAAGAACCCACATTCAACGTTCAATGAGCAGGAAAATTGCGACTTAGGATAGCTATAGGCTTGGAATGGCTAAGGTCAGCGTCTGCCTAGTGCTGCGTCAGGCACGGAAATGCCACCTATACGGGTGGAGAAAGTTGCGACTTGGGGGACTTCCGTCCACTTGGAGGATTCCCGTCTTCTCTGTTCTCTCATCGCTCCACTTTGGAAGCATGTACTGAGGCCATTAGCGGGCTAGCGGACAAAACCGAGAAGCGAAAAGTGATTTTCTGATTTTCCGATTTTCGCGCCCACCCCCCCACCATATCTCACCAAAAAAAAAAAAGTATAGTATATACGCCTTATTCTCGACTACTCCTAACCCCCCCTTAGCTTACGTGGTCCGTAAGGCAAATCCCATAGATTACAAGATATATCTCTATCTCCCTTACTCTCTATATTCTCTATATTACCTATATTACTCGAATTATCTATATTTCCTTTATTTTCTTTTTTTCTAGTATCCTTACTCTCTTCTACTATAACCTTCTTTCCTATTACCTTCTAATCTTATATCTGTTTTTATACTCGCTTTCTATATCTTATAGGCAGTTAAGGCTTTAATATAAAGGGTTTTATAGATATAGAATAAAGCTTTCTAGATTTAGTAGATTTAGTATTAAATTAATAGAAAGTATAGACTTTATTATTATTATTATATTTATAATTTATATAAATACTATTAAATTCGCCTTCTATAATTATATAGTATTTAAAAGGGCTCTTTAATCTTTTCTTATTATTATAAGTAATATAAGCTTAAGAGAATTCGGTTCTATAAATATATATTAAGCTTGCTTCTAAATTTACCTTGCCTTTTTCTAATTCCTTTAGCTTTATTTTTCTAACTTTAGTTTTATTATTAATTTGCTTTATTATTTTAGTAGTATTATTAGGAGATTAAAGTATTATTATAAAGAAAAAAAAAAGAAAAAAGTTATATATAAAGAGAAAATTAAAAAGTAAAGGAATTTATTAATTAAATATATTAATAGGAAAGAATATTATAAACTAAATCTGAATTATTAGAAAACATATTATAAATATTATTTTTCTATTTATTTATAGCTTTATTATCTTTTTTATTATTTTTGTCTTTATTAAAACTATTACCTAAAGCTATATTTAATATATTTTTAATAAAAAAAGCTTTAATAATAGTATTATATATCGGAATTAAAGTCATTTTTTGTAATATATATAGGGTTATATGTAACTTAAGGGCATATAACAAACCTCGGATATTGCGGGTATTAATTAGGGAAATCAGAGGCCCTTTGACTTTATAACTAACTACTATTTATATTATAAGTATTAGGCTTATAAATTACTAATTATATATATGTTATCGGGGCCTCTTATTTAAAGGAGGCTTTCCTAGACCTTATAGAAGGAATAGAGATTAGTTCTATACTGAATTTAATACTATAGTTTTATAACTTACTAATTTATTCTATTATCTTATTACCTACTAATAAATATCTTATAAGCTAATCTCTTTACCCTTAAAGAAGGTAATTTAATAAGTAATTATATCTCGAAATCTGCGAAATATATAACCCCTTACTAAAGCTATTCCTATAGAGGAAGTCAACCAGATTAATCCTAATACGGGTAATAGTAAAGGCTTATTTAATACTTTTAATAGGGCCCTTTAGGAGCCTCCGAGAGCCAGTAATAATAACGGAAATAATCCCGGTAATAATTAAGATACCGAGATTAATACCCGAGTTACTACTACCCAAGCTATAGAATAGGGCTTATATACTAAAGTCAAAGTACTCTAATAAAAGTAAGAATTAGTAGATATAATTAATTAATATATCCTATAGTTAGAGTAATATAAGGGTATTTTTAGGGATATCTTACGGTTTACTATATTTCGTAAAAACTTTATTTATAAGTCTATCCTATTTTCCTTAGTAATTCTTATTAGGGAACTTCCTAAAATGAGGTTAGAACCCACTTTCTTTCCTAATATAATAAGCTTTAAAAGTAATCTCAATACTATTTATTAGGAGCTACTATATAATATCCTAAAGATATATTTAGACTAAAAGAAGCTTTTTAAGGTCCGGATATTTGACTTATATTATAGAAAGTTCCTTAAGAAATAGAGAATATTTATATTCTTCTAGAAAATAGTCTTTAGGACCTAACCTTGAACTTATAATAAATATTCTTCTAGAGTTAACTTTATTATAAGTATTTTTAGGAACAAATCTTATAATATTTAAAAGGCTATAATAAAGCAAAGCCTACTATTATATAAGGTCTATTAGGAGTAATTTAAGGCTTATTTAGCTAATATACTCTAAATACCTTAAATCTATTAATAAGATACCTTTAAGGAACTCTGAGATCTTTATTAAAAGAATAGTAAAATAGTTATTAAGTTATATATTCGAATAATTAGTTTCAAAATTAACTAGGACCTATATCCTAAGAGAAACCGGATCCGGACTCTTAATATTACTTTATTTAACTATAAGACTTATTAGATACTTATATCTATTCTCTTAGGAAATAAAGTAATATCTATTTCCAAATAGCTTAAGAAAGCTTAAAAAGCAAAGTATATTACTTATCCTAAATTAAGAAAAGCAAAAACAGGGAAGTCTAGTAAGAGTAACTCTGCCCCTAAAGACTCTGACTTAGTAAATTCTAATTTATAAGGCTATTAAAAAAGGAAGAATAAGTTTCGAAAATTATATAAGAAACTTTTAGGTAGAGTTTTGGCCCCTTTAAGGCCTTAATAAAGTACTAGTTCTATTTTAGGTATAGTTTATTAGACTTATAAATAGAAAAAATACTTCTTAGAAAATATAAAATATTTCAAATATACTAAATAGACTTGGCAGAACCCTAATAAGGCCAAAACTATAAAAGAGTTAAGGTATTTATAGAAGCAGGTTAATACTATAGCTATAGAAGAGTACTCTAGAGGAGATTCTTCTAAGAAATAAGAAAAAGAGAAGGCTAAATCTTAAATATTAATAATTTTAGCTATAATAAAAAAGGTATATTACTTTATATAACTATTTAAGCAAGATTAATATAGCTAGAAATAGGTGCCTTAGAGATATATAGCAGACTTAGTAATACTAGGTTAGATTGCAACTTCCTTAATAATAATTAGGCTTAAAGCCGGGGCTTTATTACTTTGGCTAAATATAATTAAGAATTTATAACCTTTTATAAGAACTAATTTAAGGTTTATTAAGCCTATAATCTTGAGATATTTATTATAGATAATTATAATGAGATGTATTCTTTTAAGCTCCGGTTCTATAAATATAAGAATATTAGCTCTTATAGCCTTATTTTTAGTATGGAATTTTATAAAGTAATCCTTATATAATATATAAACTATATTAAGAAATAATAGATATATATACCTATATAGCCTAATAATATTAAGATTCTAATACTAAAAGAGTTTAATAAAGAGCTTAACCGGTACCCTAAGCTAGTATCTCGAGTCTTATTCTTAACTAAAAGCAAATATAACTATCCTAGATAATAGGCTTTATATATTTATAATAATTACTAGATCTCTACTTTATTATATGGTTCTAGTAATACTAAACAGGAGTTTTTAATATAGCAAATTAATATTTTCTAGAAAAGGGCTTTAGAAATACCTATTTATTTCTGGAATAATAAATATAAAAACTTCTCAGAGGTTTTTAACTCTAATAAAGCTTCGGAACTTCCTAATCTTGGTAGTATTAAATACTTTATTAATATAAATAGTATAATCCTATATAGGCCTTTATATAATCTATTAGAGACCTAACTAGAAGTATTATATCTATATTTATAGAATATACTTTACAAATATTAGATAAGGCCTAGTAAAAGCCTAGTAAGGGTACTTATTCTTTTTATTCCCAAGAAAAATAAAGAACTATACTTTTATATTAATTATTATAAATTTAACTAAGTTATAATTAAGAATTAGTATTTGCTTCCTTTTATTAATAAGACTCTTAACCGGCTTTAAGAAGCCAAGATTTTTATAAAGCTAGATCTTAAGAATATATATTATTAAATAAGAATTCATAAAGAATATAAGTAAAAGACGGCTTTTAGGACCCGCTATAGCTATTTTAAATATTTTATAATATCTTTTAAACTAGCTAATATATTAGCCATATTTCAAGTATATATTAATACTATACTTATAGGGCTCCTGAATTATTTCGTGATTATTTATTTAGATAATATTCTTATTTATTCCCGAAATAAGGATAAATACTATAATTATATATATTAGGTATTTATTAGGCTATATAAAAATAACCTATTTTATAAACTTAATAAATACAAGTTTAATATTAAGAAAGTCGAATTTTTAGGCTTCCTTATTAGAATAGAAAGTATTTATACGAATCCTAAACAGGTCTGTAGTATTATTAAATAGCCAGAACCAGAATTATTTTATAATATCTAAGTATTTTTTAGATTTACTAATTTCTATTATAGGTTAATTTACTATTATTCTCAGGTAACTATAGGCTTAATAGATCTCTTAAAAGAAATAGAAAAGGGCCAAAAATCCGGTTCCTTTATATAAATAAATAAAGTAGCTAAAAGCTTTAAGACTTTAAAAAAAGCTTTTACTATAATACTTATTCTAGTTTATTTTAACTTTTCTAAGAAAATTTATATTAAAACTAATATATTAAAATTCGTAATTACTAGTACTATTTTATAATAAGTTAATCCTAGTAATAGCCCAAAAAAATACTAGTATCTAGTAATATTCTAGTCCCGGAAACTTTCCGGAGCTAAATATAATTATAGTATCTATAATAGAGAGCTACTTATAATTATTAAAGCCTTTAAGTATTAGTACTATTACCTTAAAAAGTTCAGGTTTAT